CTCTGGGATTTTCAGTTCAGTTCAGTTGCTCAGTTGTGTTTGACTCTTTGCAACCCAATGAACAGCAGCATGCCAGGCTACCCTGTCCATCAATAAGTCCAGGAGTCTACCCAAACCCATGTCCATTAAGTCAGTGATGCCATCCAACATCTCATCCACTATTGTCCCCTTCTCCTCCTGCCCACAATCCTTCCCAGCATTAGGGTCTTTTCTAATGAGTCAACTCGTCGCATGAGGTGGCCAAAGTATTGGAGTTTCAGCTTCAACATCAGTCCTTCCAAAGAACGCCCAGGAGTGATCTCCTTTAGGATGGACTTGTTGGATCTCCTTGCACTCCAAGGGACTCTCACGAGTCTTCTCCAACACCACAGTTCAAAAGCATAAATTGTTAGGTGCTCAGCTTTTTTCACCATCCAACTTTCACATCCATACTATCCATCCATGATAGCATTCATCCATCCATGACTACTGGAAAAACCATAGCCTTGACTAGACAGACCTTTGCTGGCAAGGTAATGTCTCTGCTTTTAAATATGCTATCTAGGTTGGTCATAACTTTCCTTCCAAAGAGTACGCATCTTTTAACTTCATGGCTGCAATCACCATCTGCAGTGATTTTGAAGCCCCCCAAAAATAAAGTCTGACACTGTTTCCACTGTTTCCCCATCTATTTCCTATGAAGCGATGGGATCAGATGTCATAATCTTAGTTTTCTGAATGTTGAGCTTTAAACCAACTTTTTCACTCTCTCCTTCACTTTCATCAAGAGGCTCTTTAGTTCCTCTTCATTTGCTGCCATAAGGGTAGTGTCGTCTGCATATCTAAGTTTATTGATATTTCTCCAGCCAATCTGGTTTCCAGCTTGTGCTTCTTCCAGCCCAGCGTTTCTCATGATGTACTCTGTATTTAAGTTAAATAAGCAGCGTGCCAATATAGAGCCTTGACATCCTCCTTTACCTATCTGGAACCAGTTTGAGTGAACTCTGGGATTTGGTGATGGACAGGGAGGCCTGGCGTGCTGCATTGCATGGGGTCACAGTCAGACATGACTGAGCAACTGAATCAAACTGTACTTGGAGTCCTGCTGATGAGGCTGAAGTGATTCAGATCCCCGGGAACTGAAACCTGGTCTGGTGGCCAAGTTGGGGTTGGGTGGGGGTTGATGTGGGGTGCTGGGGGGTGGGGCTGGATGTGGGGTGCTAGCTGAACCCAAGAATATTCCTGCAATTGGTATTAATTTAAGCAGCTTAAGTAAACAAGAACTGGCTTTGTGTAGTGATGACAAGCTAGAATGTGAAACACACAACTCTTAGAAAGGGTTACTTCATATTAACACTTCTGAGAAAAATGTCTTGACATTCCACTTCTTCAAGGATCAAGCTTATTAGTCACTGCAGTGGCCCTGAGTGCACCCTGAGGGGAATGCAGGATTGAGAAAAGCAGGCACCATGCTGTGCTTTGGACATTCTAGCCTCCGTATTTTAGGAAGGGTCTCTTGGGTCCATCCACCTCTTCAGCAAGTCCAGATAAGCTTGAGGGAGTCTCTCCTGGTTTTCAGATCTCCCATTATTGGTTGATGGCCCCAATTTTGCTTGGAAGTGTATCATACATAGCACCCAGTTAAAAGACACTGAGTAGAACTTTCCTGGTGGTGCAGTGGCAAATAATCTACCTGCCAATGCACAGGACCCAGGTTTGATCCCTGGTGTGGGAGGATACCACATGCCTCGCAGTAACTAAGCCTGTGCAACATAAGTACTAAGCCTGTGCGCCAAAGCCTGTGCTCTGCAACAACAGTAGCCCCAGCAATGAGAAGCCTGCACACAAGTAACCAGAGTCATTTCTGCTTGCTGCCATTAGAGAAATCCCACGTTCAGCAAAAAGAGGCTCAGCACAAACAAAACAACAAAAAGACATTGAGTCCTCTGGACTGACCAAAAGAAGCATCAAATGCCAGTCCTAACCATACCCCAGCCAAGTTTCTGTGGAGAATTCTCAGCCTGATTGCTGCAATAAGACAAAGAAGCCAGCACAATGAAGACTTAGAAGAGCCTAAGATAAATTTTAAAGATTATTAAAGAGAGAAACAGACTGGCTCCAAATAGGAAAAGGAGTAAGTCAAGTATGTATATTGTCACCCTGCTTATTTAACTTATGTGCAGAGTACATCATGAGAAACGCTGGGCTGGAAGAAGTACAAGCTGGAATCTAGATTGCTGGGAGAAATATCAATAACCTTAGATATGCAGATGACAATACCCTTATGGCAGAAAGTGAAGAGGAACTAAAAAGCCTCTTGATGAAAGTGAAAGGATAGTGAAAAAGTTGGCTTCAAGCTCAACATTCAGAAAACTAAGATCATGGCATCTAGTGCCATCACTTCATGGGAAATAGATGGGGAAACAGTGGCTGACTTTATTTAGGGGGGTTCTAAAATCACTGCAGATGGTGACTGCAGCCATGAAGTTAAAAGATGCTTACTCCTTGGAAGGAAATTTATGACCAACCTAGATAGCATATTAAAAAGCAGAAACATTACTTTGCGAACAAAGGTCCGTCTAGTCAAGGCTATGGTTTTTCCAGTGGTCATGTATGGATGAGAGTTGGACTGTGAAGAAAGCTGAGCGCCAAAGAATAGATGCTTTTGAACTGTGGTGTTGAGGGAGACTCTTGAGAGTCCCCTGGACTACAAGGAGATCCAACTAGTCCATCCTGAAGGAGATCAGTCCTGGGTGTTTATTGGAAGGACTGACGCTGAAGCTGAAACTCCAATACTTTGGCCATCTCATGGGAAGAGATGACTCATTGGAAAAGACCCTGATGCTGGGAAGACTTGGCAGGAGGAGAAGGGGATGACAGAGGATGAGATGGCTGGATGGCATCACCGACTCGATGGACATGAGTAAACTCTGGGAGTTGGTGATGGACAGGGAGGCCTGGCGTGCTGCGATTCATGGGGTGACAAAGAGTCGGAAACGACTGAGACTGAACTGAACTGAACTGAAAGAGAGAAAAAACTTTTAATGAAAAATGCATTCTTTATAAAAGTTTCTGTTCCATGCTTATGATGACAAAGCTTCAAAAACTCATATGAGAAAAACTTTTTTACATCATAATATATAATACTTAAGCTAATACTTCAATGTAATGGAATGTCAAATTATTGTATGATCACTTGACGTTTATTAGGCAATTTACTTCTTGTTGAAAAATTGGAATATATTTTCTCTCATGTGTTTGTTGTCTGTTTCTGAAAGATCAGTCAGTTTTGGACAATAAAGCACATTGTCAAATATAAAGTCTTAAGACACTAGAATTTATTTTCACCAAAATTATCAGTGTGGCACTATTTCTAAATATTCTTATGTGTATTACCTGACTGAACTCAAGTCCTAAAGGAACTGTCCTTCTTTACATTTACAGGCACCTACTATGTTCCCTGTCATTGTCTATGTGCATTTTAATGTTACAAAAGTCTCAAAATAACCCACAGACATGTATTTATTAGTGGAACGCAGGAAAGAAATGTAAATTAGACCTTAGAAATGGGTCATAACATGTGGATAGAAAAAGTAACACTAAGGAGAAACTATTGAAAAAAACAAAAGAAATAGGAAGGCAGGATTTAAGAGATCAGCACTGAAACATATACATTTCCATATGTAAAAGAGGCAGTGGGAGTTTGACGTGTTAGCGAGTACTCTGGGACAATCTGGAGGGATACGGTGGCAAGAGAGGTGGGTTCAGGAGGGAAGGGACATATGTAGGCCTATGGCCTATTCAAGATGTACAGCAAAAACCATCACAATATTGTAAAAAAAAAAAAAAATTTACTGATTTTGAGTTAGGCCTGAACACAGAATCAAAGCTTTCCCACACCTAACACATTTGTGTAGTTTTCCTCCAGGTTGAATTTTCTGAGGGTCAAAAACTTTATATACTTTACTGCATGTGCAAGTTTTCACTGCAGTATGGATTCTCAGATGATCTGCAACATCATTCCTTGTGACTGAAGGGTTTGCCACATAAATAACATTTATGCGATTTGCTGAACATGAACTAGAAACTCTGCGACACTCATTTCACTTGTATGTTTTCTATACAGCATGGATTCTCTGAATTATAAGGTCTCAACACTGGTTTTTTACCACTCACGACATCTGCACTAAAAATTTTTTTTTAATTTTTTTTTTAAATGTTTCTCACAACTGTCACATTTCTAATGTTTCTCTCTAGTATGAATTCTCCCATGGATTCTAAGTTCATCAGTTCAAGTAAAGCACCGGCCATATACATCATATTTATATGGTTTCCCTCCTGTCTGAACTGATGAGTTATGGATGACTGTACCTAAATGGTTTGTCACAATTCTTATATTTCTAAGGTTCTCTCCAGTATGAATTGTCTGATGAGCTGCAAACTTTGCATTCACACTGAAAGCCCTGCCACATATACCTCATTTATATGCTTTCTCTCCCGTATGAACTCTCTGATGAACACCAACGTTACCAGTACAAGCAAATGCCTTGCCACATACATCACATTTATATGATATCTCTCCAGTATGAATTCTCCTATGAAGACGAAGTTTGGCCACACACATCACATTTATATCGTTTCTCTCCAGTATGAATTTTCTGATGAACCACACGGCTTGAAGTTTCACTAAAGCGTTCATGACATATATCACATTTATATGGTTTCACTCCAGTATGAACTCTCTGATGAACAGTAAGGTTTCCAGTATGCCTAAATGCTTTGTCACATACACTGCATTTGTATGGCTTTTATTCAGTGTGAATTCTCTGATGAAGTGCAAGTCTTGCAGTCTGATTAAAGGCCTTGCCACATACATCATAATTATAAGATTTCTCTATAGTTTGAATTCTCCAATGAACTGCAAGGATTGAAGTTTCACTAAAGCCTTTGCCACATATATCACATTTATATGGTTTCACTCCAGTATGAACTCTCCAATGAACAGCAAGGCTTGAACTTACACTGAAAGCCTTGGCAGATATACAACAATTATATGGTTTCTCACCAGTATGAACTCGCCAATGAACAGCAAGATGTCCAGTATGACTAAATGCCTTGCCACACACATCACATTTATATGGCTTCTCTCTAGTATGGATTCTCCGATGAACTGCAAGATGCGCAGTCTGATTAAAGGCCTTGCCACATACATCACATTTATATGGTTTCTCTCCAGTATGAATTCTCCGGTGAACTGCAAGGCTTGAATTTGAACTAAAGGCCTTTCCACATACATCACATTTGTATGGTTTCTCTCCAGTATGAATTCTCCAGTGAACTGCAAAGCTTGAACTTTCAGTAAAGCCTTTGCCACATACATCACATCTATATGGTTTCTCTCCAGTATGAACTCTTCGATGAACAGCAAGGTGTCCAGTACGAGTAAATGTCTTGCCACACATATCACATTTATATGGCTTCTCTACAGTATGAATTCTCTGATGAACTGCAAGGTTTGAAGTTTCACTAAAGTCTTTGCCACATACATCACATTGATATGGTTTCTCTCCCGTATGTGTTCTCTGATGAACTTTAAGTTGTGAGTTTTGAGTAAAGCATCGGTCACATACATCACATTTATATGGTGTCTCTCTAGTATGAATTCTCCAATAAACTGCAAGGTTTGCAGTTTGACTAAAGGCTCTGCCACATGTATCACATTTATATGGTTTCTCTCCCATATGGGATCGTGATGAACTGCAACCTTTGCAGCTTCATTAAAGGCCTTGCCACATACATCACATTTATATGGTTTCTCTCCAGTATGTACTCTCAAATGAACAGCAAGGTGTGAATTTACTCTAAAAGTCCTGCCACACACATCACATTTATATGGTTTCACTCCAGTATGAAGTCTCTGATGAACAGTAAGGCTTCCAGTATGACTAAACACCTTGTCACATATATTGCATTTGTATGGCTTCTCTCCAGTATGAATTCTCTGATGAAGTGCAAGTTTTGAATTCTGACTAAAAGCCTTCCCACATACATCACATTTATATGGTTTCTCTCCAGTATGAATTCTCTGATGATCTGCACAGCTTGCACTCTAAATGCTTTCCCACATACATCACATTTATATGGTTTCTCTCCAGTATGAATTCTCTGATGATCTGCACAGCTTGCACTCTGACTAAATGCTTTCCCACATACATCACACTTATATGGTTTCTCTCCAGTGTGAATTCTCTGATGAACTGCAAGGTTTGAGGTTTGACTAAAGGCATTGCCACATACATCACATTTATATGGTTTCTCTCCCATATGAACTCCCTGATGAACAGCAAGGCTTGAACGTACCCTGAAAGCCTTGCTGCATGTACCACAATTATATGGTTTCTCTCTAGTATGAACTCTCCCATGAACAGCAAGCTGTCTAGTACGACTAAATGCCTTGTCACACACATCACATTTATGTGGCTTCTCTCCAGTATGAATTCTCCAATGAACTGCAAGGCTTGCAGTTTGAATAAAGGCCTTGCCACATATATCACATTTATATGGCTTCTCTCCAGTATGAATTTTCCAATGAAGTCCAAGATTTGCAGTCTGATTAAAGGCCTTACCACATATATCACATGTATATGGGTTCTCGCCAGTATGAATTCTCGAATGAACTGCAAGGCTTGAAGTTTGACTAAAGGCCTTGCCACATACACCACATTTATATGGTTTATCGCCAGTATGAATGCTCTGATGAACTGCAAGGTGTGCAGTTTGACTGAAAGTCTTGCCACATACATCACATTTATATGGTTTCTTTCCAGTATGAAGTCTCTGATGAACTGCAAGGTTTCCAATTCGAATAAAAGCCTTGACACATATATCACATTTGTGTGGTTTCTCCCCAGTATGAATTCTCCAATGAATTGCAAGTTTTCTAGTTTGATTAAAAACCTTGCCACACAAGTTGCATTTATATGGTTTTCCTCCGGTATGGATTCTTTGATGTCTACTGAGTTCTGAGTCTTGAAGAAAGGTTATGTCACACTCATTACATTTGTAAGGTCTTTTCTTTTGTGTTTCATGGTCTGGTAACAGTTCTGAGGGATGCAAAATAGCATCCTCATGTTTATGAGAAAAGCCTTTGCAGACATTACCAGTTCTCTGAAGTGATAAACCTGAGGTGCTGACATTTGTCACAACTTGACTACATTTAAAAATTATCCCTTCAGATTGTACCATCTGCAATTCATCCTGAAAGCTTGCTCTGTGCCTTTCAAAAGGTCCATTTCCTGCATCACTTCTACTAGGATGATCTCTTCCATCAGTGAGGTTTCTGTTATGGGATGTAGACATTCCTTTGTCAGTTCTTTCATCATCTGCCCACAGACAATCAAAGTCATGTATATTTTCCAGGATCTTCCTGAGACGAAAATCTTTGATGTCAAGGCTTTCAGTTCTTCCAAACATCACTCTTTGAAAAATTTCCCCTTTACCACTGTCTGCTTTTGCCTGTAATTTCTTGATCATATGTATATGAGACATATCTGCAAGACATAAAGAACCACAGGTATTCTATTAGTGACAATGCATAAATAAATTCTTTCCTGTTGAGCACATGATATGATACCAAAAGTCATATCCATCCTGAACAGAATTAGGAATCTTCGCAATGATCTTAAAACTATACAAAACTAAAGGAATAGAACTCTTTAAAAAAGAGTGATCATATGCAATTCAAATTAATTTTAGGGTAGTATAGTTTCAAACACAATCAGAAAACATTCATTTTAAGCAAACTCATGTCAGTTTGCAAAGAAAACATATTTTCCCACCATGACCTCAAGGCTCATCCTACTTGTACTAAGTGCACTGCTCTCTCATCATTGAGGAGAAACTAATGGTTACTGTACATACTTTATGCATACTTATACATGTTTAAATGGTAAAGAACATACAGGACTAGAGAGGTGACTCAGTGGTAAAGAATCTGGCTGCCAATGCAGAAGACACGGCACAGGGGCATACAATCCCTGGGTCGGAAAGATCCCCTGGAGCAGGAAATCATAACCAGCGCACTATTCTTGCCTGAAAAAAATTCCATGGATAGGAAAGCTTGGTGGGCTACAGTCCATGAGATCACAAAGAGTCAGACTGGACTGAGCCACTGAGCCAACAAGCATCAAACAGGTAATACATTGGAATGGTAAACAATGCAAAAGAAGCATTCTAACGAATGACAGAAAAAATAAATGGCAGTTAGAAACTGTTCAACAAATACTGCATTGAGAAAATAAAGAATTCCGTAAACTATATGTGTGTGTGTGTGTGTGTGTATATATATATATATATATATATATATATTTTTGCTGGACCACGTGACTTACAAAATCTTGGTTCCCTGATCATGGATTAGAACCAGGCTCGCTGCAGTGAAACTACTGAATCCTATCCACTGGACTGTCAGGGAATTCCCTAAAATAATTTAAAAACTAAAAAAAAATACTTTTTAAAAATACCTGTTAGAAATCTATCAGTAGATAGACATAAAATATATCAGTAGATAGACATAGAGTCGTTTTATGACATTAATGAGTGGATCATGTCAGTTATGTTGTGTAATACAAAAAGATCGTCATTTTAAAAAAACAAAAAATATGAGAAACAGTCTCTACTTGTACGATAATCATTAAATACATCAACTCCATATCTACACAGCAACCTAAACTCACCCAGTTCATTGGCTCAAGATATATGTAAAGAAACAAGCTTTGAGGCTTCCCTTGTGGCTCAGAGGTAAAGAATCCGTCACTGAGCATAAGTTCATGAACCACAGATACTGAGTTTGTATGGCAAAACTGCTCACGCCCTTGTGCCCAGGGCCTGTGCTTCACAAGTAAAGAAACCACCACAATGAGAAACTGTGTTCCCCACAACTACAGAGTAGCCCTCACTCATCTCAAACAGACAGAAGTCCACACAGCACAGAAGACCCAGTACGGGCCAAATACAAAGACCTCGCCTTCATCTCTGTGGGTGCTACAGCTCCACTGGAGGGTGCTGTACATTTCACATGTCGATGAACAGAGCCGTCAGTTAGGGAGAAGAAAACCCCCCTGTGAGATTCACAAACATTAAACACCTGTTTTCTCACAGAACTCTCCCCCTTGGAGAGTTTCCCAAACCCCATGAATGGTGTGGCTTCCTCTCTGTTCTTGTGACAGTTGACCTGTGATCACACTATTGATACTTTGCCACTCATCTGGATTTTTGTTGTTAGCACCTCATTCTCCACAATCCAGGGGTCTTCCTCCTTCTATGGAGATAACGTTCAAATCAGAAACAGAAATTCCTACTCACATAATGCCACATACTGTGGCTTCTTCTAGAATTCAACCTGTCTTTTTTTTTAAATAAATGTATCTACTATTTTTAATACATTGGTGTATTCATTTCTTTTGGCTCGGGAGAGTGTTCGTTGCTGCTTGGTCTTCTCTCCAAGTTCAGCAAGTAGAGGCTATGCTGCAGTTACAGTGCTTGTGCTCCTCACTTGCTGTGGCTTCTCCTGGGTGCACAAGCTTCAGTGGTTTTCCCATGTGGGCCCAGTAGTTGCAGCTTCCAGGCTCTAGAGTGCTGGCTCGTAGTTGAGGCACACAGGCGTAGCTGCTCTGTGACATGTGGGATCTTCTCAGACCAACGATTGAACCCGGGTCTCCTGCATTGGTAGGTGTAGAATCCAGCTCTTTTGTCAGCCAAGGGGTGAGGAGACTATCAACCAACAGGAAAATACTTCTCTAATGAATTCACTATCTGCCTCCTTTTGAATGCACAGGGAGCAGTATAACGTACAGTACAATATGCATCAGATATCTAGTTCCTCTCTAAGAACTACTGAACCAAGAACACACGGCTAGAAAACAGGCAACTGGATGTTTCAAAGTTTGAAATCAGCTTTATAAATACTCAAGTTCTGAAAAAACTCCTGTATCACACATGGGCAGGTCACCAGAAGGAAAGACAAGTTTAAACTCCTGATGCAAATCACGAAGCTTTACATGTGTGAGTCACCAAGGTTTTGAGCTTAGTCAAGAAAAACAGGGGATCTCAAAAGGTACAGAGGGAACATGCAGAGGTACCCCAGGGCAGATCCCCACTTCAGGGGGAAGTGATCCTAACCCACAGACAGCAGATTCCTGAGAGTCTCCACCATCACGTCCTTGTACAAGGTCCTCTGGGCAGGGTCCAGACATTCCCACTCATCAGGAATGAAATCTATGAACACATCTTTGAAGGTCAACTGTGCCTGAAATGAAAACGCATTTCACCAACGGCCCCTGAGGAGGATTCTTCGTTTCACACAAAATGAGAAGAGGTGAGAGGTGTAAAACTCAATTCAGTTGAAGTAAAATTCTGATAGATCCATTAAAAGCTGCTTGAAGCAAACTGTTGATGACGACATCATCACACTGACGACAGGTGTTTCAGCACATCCTACACACTAAGCATTACTCTAAAGACGTCACATGGATGAACTTGTCATCAACATAACAGCACGTTAGAGAAAGATCAGAGTCCACCTTACTGGGGAGAAAACTCTGTCACTCTAATAAATCGCTCAGATCAAACAGTTAAGAAATGAGGCAACAGCA